TATATTTATATATATTTATATATATCCTATTAATCCTGTCCCTCTAGAGAACCCTGACTGATACAGATGGCCCCCAGATTCTTGGCCTTGAAATGCCCCTTGGCTGTGGACTGGACTTATGGCAGTTGTGGATTTCACTTCTGTGATGAGATTCTAACAGGTGACAAAGGTGAAGGGCTTTTGTAGCTGTCATCTCCCAAATCAGTCAATTTTGAGGTAATCAGTTTGAAGGAGTCTATAGTGCGTGGCCAGGCCTGATCCAATGGTAGTTCCTACAGAGGGTCAGAGGTTCAAGCTGGGACAGATCCTCCTGTGCCTTTGGAAGAGGGGAGCTGCCCAAGTCCTCCAGGAGGCAGCCATTAGGAACCCAGCAGCCCTTGGCCAGCCCACAGCGAGGAAGTGGGGATCTCAGTCCTAGAAACACAAAGAACCAGATCCTGCCACCAACCTAAACAAGCTTGGTGGAATCCCTGAGTTCCAGATGAGAACAAGGCCTGGCTGACACCACGACTGAGAGGCAATCCATGGGATCAATCCGGATATGTCACACCTGCACTTATGACCAGGAAAACCATGAGGAAACAAAGGAGTGCTATTTTAAACAACTAAGTTTGCTGCATATTTTTATGCAGCAATAGATAACCAATATATGAGATAAGTCTTATGCATCACTCTGTTATTACCATATCCCCACATATGCCATGCATGCGATTCCAGGTTTTTTACAAATTTATATGATAAAGAATTCAGAATTAGATATTGTGTCAAAATAATGTTAATTGCACTGGAATCATTATCATATCTTTAAGTTTTTCCATTATTTTACATGAAATAATTTATCCCAATCTAATTTCTTCCATTGATTTATTATTTTTTACAGATGTATTCGATGCATTTTTATTTATGAAATAATATATACATCAAGCCTCTTGAATTAAAAAAAAATGTGATCTTGTTCCACAGGACCAATGTTGAGGTGTGAAAGTTGGAACATTACTTAAAGAATAGCATGCTATCCTCACTGAGGCTGGCCCACCCCCATCTCTATAGCCACAGAAGTGAATGGACATTAGAACTAGAATACAGTGTCCAAAGCGATCACTCTTACAGCCCCAGGTACAAATACGAAGAGCAAAAAGGAAAGGAAGCTCAATGGTTAGATGAGTCTTGTGTTCCCATATCTACCACCCCCAATTCCACAATGGCCCATTTATTTTTATTTCACTATTAATTAATTTAGAGATAAGGTCTCACTCTGTCATCCAGACTGGAGTACAGTGGTGCCACACTCAGTGTATAACTCACTGCAGCCTCTAACTCTTGGGCTCCAGTGATCCTCCTTCCTCAACCTCCTGAGTAGCTGGGATTACAAGTGCAAGCCACCACACCCAGCTCCTAGCTGGGACCTCTGCCCAGGCTTTAATGTAACACCATGAAGGAAATGAAGAAACCAAGTAAAAACTACGAACCAAAACACAGACAGTCCAAATAAGAGTTCACTGCAACTAATGAAGTAAATAAAAATATAAAATGGTAAAATAATCATTGTATTATTTAACAAGGAAACAGAAAAAAGAAGGAATTGTAAGCTTCTATCCAGCGGGAATTTGTGAGGCAAATATGAAATCCCAGGGCTCTCGTCATGTTGTCATTTCCAGTTCTCAGCTCCCTAAGAGTGGGCCGTCTTCTCTCTGCCTTAGTAAGTCTTTAAACGTTTTTCTCTATCTGGTGTCCAAGATATTAAGTTGCATTTAAGTCAGAGGAAGAGACAGAACAGCTTCTACTTCAGTTTTCTCAGAAGCAGAAATCGGATTTCATTTTTGACTTAGGAATTTAACTGGAAAATTTAAGTGCGAAATTTAAGAGTATACGCGTGAGTTTTAAAAATACATTCTTGATGTCAGTTATTCAGAGTGACTTTTAATATGGATACATCCATAGAATCTGTGTGCCCTATGATGTCTTTTAATAAAATAAATTATTATTCAATGAAATTATTCATTGAAATTATTATTCAATGAAAACCCTGAAACACAAATATCACTGAGGAACACAAATATCACTGAGGAACACAAATTCAACCATAAATGACAAAGATGGAAAAGTTACAGAAAGAAAATAAAATCAATAAAATAAGTGTTTTAAAACACTCCTCATCTATATAAAAATGTGAAACAATCACTCTGCCTGGCATATTATTTAATAGTTAAATATCTTGGTTGTGATGGAAGTTTCACAGAAATATACATATGATAAACTGACTTGAACACATAGGAGTACACGTGTAACCAAATAACTCTGTGGGTTGTATCAGGGTCAATTTTCTGCTTTTCAGAATCAGGTGCTGTAGTTATGCAAGATGTTAAATTTGGGCGAAGCTGGGTGAAGGGTACACAGGCTCTCCCTCCACATTTCTTTGCAACTTCCTAAAAACTATAACTATAAAATCTTAAAAGTTTCTTAAAAAGTAAAAGAAATGTTGACTATACAATTCAAATAGTGTTATCTCATTTTTTTTTTTTTGAGACAGAGTTTTGCTCTTGATACCCAGGCTACAGCGCAATGGCGCGACCTCGGCTCACTGCAACCTCTGCCTCCTGGGTTCAGGCAATTCTCCTGCCTCAGCCTCCTAAGTAGCTGGGACTACAGGCTTACAACCACCATGCCCAGCTAATTTTTTGTATTTTTAGTAGAGACGGGGTTTCACCATGTTGACCAGGATGGTCTTGATCTCTTGACCTCATGATCCACCCACCTCAGCCTCCCAAAGTGCTGGGATTACAGGCAGTGAACCACCGCGCCCAGCCAATAGTGTTATCTCATAAAGGAAAATAAAATGGAACACAAGAGTAGCAACAACCATGTGTACTGTAATTGTCGTGCTTCACCTTTTTTTTTTTTTTTG